AAAAATAAAAAAAAAGCCACAACTCAACCTGAACACCCTTTAGGAGAGAGAATATATATATATATATATATATATGGGAGTTTATTTAAGTAGAATTAAAAAAATAAATTATTAGTAATTTTTTATTTTTAATTATTAAATTTATATTAAAAATTATTTATTTTATATGTATATTCTTTTAATTTAATTTAATAATTAAAAATTAATACTACTGATAAGATTGACCTATTGCAGACAAACTCTCTCGATCGAGAGAGAGAGAGTCTGAATTTATTTGTCATGTGTCGACTACAACTTTTCTTTTTCTCGTTACAGCCTAAACATCTAGTTGGGACGTGATCCAAAATTTTCCCATTTGAGACTTTGTGAGAAAGAAATACGCATTTTTTTTTTTTTAATGTGATGACAAAGCCTACCCCACTCACGTGGCACCTATTATTTTGTATACAAATGAAATTATACAGCCTTCATTTTCCCAGTGGTTCCAAAACACGTACAAGATTGGTATTGCCGTGTTGCTTACAACTTAACGCAAATCACGTTGCAAGAGTTCATAAATGTACGTGCATCGGCATATGGTCCTATCTGTCCATAGAATCTGCGAATCTGCTAAATTCGTCCAATTCAAACCAATTCTATGGAGTAGATTTGATTGGGAGACATTTTAAATTTAAGAAAATTCCAATATGAAAGCGTTAGTGCCCGTTTAGTTCGATGATTCGAATTGAGATGTAACTTTATGCGAGAATTTTTTACTGTAATAAAAAAGTTAAATGTGACTGTTTTTAAGAGTTTTTTACTGTAACAAAACTCGAATCGTTGAAATGAATAGATTATTTTGTGAATTTAGCATTTGTCAATATGCATGTAAAATCTCTGAATCCGAACTTTTTATATATTATATAATAAAAATACAATTATATATTTTTTACATCAAATTTTTAGTAATATATATATACTTGTATATACGTGTATTTTTCTCCCAATTAATGCCTAGTATTAACAGCACCATGTGCCAGCCCATTTGTGTTTTTGTTTTTCTTTTATAGAACTCAACCCACTTGAGAACCCTAAGGCTAGAATCATTATTCATAATTTTAATATCATGCTTAATCTGTGGAATCTGCGTAATCAAATCCATGAAATCAGATAATTTTGGATTGTATTAGATTGGGTTGAGAAAATTTTAAATTGATAACAAACAGTAATTTTTTTAAACTTATAAAATTTTTGTTAGATTACGGTTGACCTCTAATACGTGGAATCCAATACGTGAACGCCCCTATATCAACACTACTTGGCACAAAAAATTAGTCTATGTCCACATATACATACTCTATTAAACAATATGATTCATCACGTTAAGGCAATTCTAGTTTAGCGAAATTTGGCATCTCTAGATTAATTTTTAATAAGTGAAAAAATTATTTAGGAGAAAAAAGGAAAAGATCTTGCGGAACTAAAACATGTAAAGGTCTAAGAACAAGGAAAAGAAAAGAAGCAAAAAAAAAAAAAAAAACTGTAAAAGATCCCTATCGTCATTCGTCTTCTTATTCTGGCACCCAATATTAATTGTCTTATCACTTTAACCTTTAGTAGAGCATTTAGTTGATAACCTTTAAATAGCTCAGATGGACTAATGAGACTAACTTTCAAATTGATACTTAAATTCACAATTATTTGGTCATTAATATTTAAGATTATATTGTCTGCCTCTTTTAAGTTATGTGAATCTTTCATGTCATACTAATGACTTCATTGTCTCGCACATTTTCAGGGAAGGAAATCAGGTTGCAGGCAAGTTGGCTCAGATTTCTGTAATCATCTTGTTGCTATAAGGATTTTATGAGTTTTGCTTGTTAATTATAGGTCTTAATAAGGTTCAAAATTGTAGGGCTTAGGCATAGAGATAGCATTATTTGACTTAATGTACAACCCTTTTAGTTTCTTTCAAACTATAGTGTCTTTTTTTTTTTTTCTTTTTTGAGTCGATCTATTTTGTCTTTGTTCTTTTGTCTTAGAGCCGAATACCTCATCTTGTATCTATCTTTTAATTTCAATAAAATTTAAGTGAAGGGTTTGGTATAAGATGCGGCGTTTGGTGGGTGCCGACCTTATTAGGATGTGATATTAGCTATCCTCTCTCGTCATTCATTTGAAAAAAAATAAAATTTGGAACGGTGGGCGGCGATCTTTAGTGGGACAGGGGTTGAGACAGTGTCCAGTGGGGTAGCGCCAGCGCCTATGGGGCATCGGTGACGTCTAATGGGGATGCGACGACATGCGGTTGAGATGCATTGGTGTCCAGTGGAGCTGCTATGTCGATGACGGGAATGAACAGTTGCAATGGTCTGTCTCTAATGGTTGGGCGGCTAAAGTATTTTTGAAGTGATTTCATGATATTGAGATTCCAGAGAATTTGAAGTTAACCTTATTGGTTGGTATTGAGATTACCTCAAAATAGAATAAAGTGAATCCCATAGAATTGACTTTTTTTAGAATATAAATATCATATTTTTTCTTGAATCAGACCTGAGAATCTTGTAAATTTTGATTGCAATACTTAAGATTATTGCATACCAAACACCCCGTAATAATTGTATCAACGCGATCGGATTGTGCACCGAATAAACCAAATAAAAACGTTCTTTGGCGACACTTTGTACACTGAACATATACATAGTTCTTCCCATATCCCTAAAATTACGATCAATATTTTCTCCCCTCTT